CCCGATCGAGCGAGCGAACGGCCTTAATCTGTTTGCTGGGCAGCTTGCTAAGAACGACTTGTCGTACTTCTCGATACATCAAAACTCTGAGTAAATAAGGAAAAGCTTAGGAATTAGGAAGAAACTAAATTTTCAGAACAATTTTGAGAAACTCAATTTTGTGAGACTCAATTTTGAGAAACTTAAAGAAACTCAATTTTGAATGCAGATTTCAGTGCTATTCATACAGAATTAGATACTTTTACCATGCTTTTCAACGCTATTGTGAAACATTGAGTTGCAATCCAACAATCATCTAAAGCAGTTGTTTCTAAATGTGCTAAAGTTTTACAAATCATTACCAAAAAGTTAGTTTCCAAAATTTAATCTCAAGCCCAGAAAATCAGTGCTATGTTTGCTTCCTCTTATATATGTGAACAAGCGTTTTCAAGTATGAACCTTAGAAAAAAATCATTTTAGAAGTAGACTAATAGACAAGAATATAGCCTCGTTTCTTAAAATAAGCACATCTAACTTCGAACCTCAATATAAGAAAATGACATCGCAATTTACTTCATCTCATTAAATGTCTAAACTAGAGCTTGTATATAGTATTTTTTTTACATCGTTTTTACTTGGCCCATCCCTGCCCTGCATGCTAAATGCTCACACCTGAGCGAATCGCATGTTTCGCTTCATAAGCTTTAAGAACTCATTATCCTTTGTTATTTATCACCCAGCATGTTAACTGCTCGCGCCTGAGCGAATCGCATATATTTCCTTTTATAATTTAACAAGGATTTTAGTTAATTTACTGTGTAAGTTTGACAAGTGTTTTCCCTTTAAACTTTTGCAGGTAATAGTCCCCTAATAACTTTTTCAGGTAACTTATTTCAACACTTTTGAACATAGGAACAAACGTAGAATCAAGTTAATGTCTATTATTTTATGTTCCAACTCAAAAAGCATACGACTGTATTATATTTTTGAAGAAACATTCCAATTACACATGAAATTATTATAGGCAGTAATTCAAACACCTATTTCTTTTCTTTAAGAAAAATCTTTCGCAATACCTCTTAATTACCCACATAGACTATTGTGATAAAAGAAAAACAAGGGCTTTAAGAAAGAAGGGGGGGAAAATACATAATTCAAAATGTTTTAAGAATTTTGTTTCCCTGAAGTCATATTTCTTTAATTCTAAAGAAACACACACACAAAAAAGGGGGGCGGAAAAATGTAATGTTTTCAATTAAAGAGAGGTAGAATCAAACTATTTTAAAAAACATAGGTACTCTAGGGAAACTGAATTTTCCTGACTTCGGAAATATATTCAACATGGAAGATAGATGGAAATAAGTTTGGAAGGAAACCTGTCTGGTAATTTTCATGCAACATTAAATAACTTCAACAATAAATCGTATAACATGTACAATAACCTACAGCTAAACGTAATTTATTTAAATATCTTAACTTCTTTCTGTTCTTGTTCGTAATGTACAAAAGGCAAAATAAAAAACGAAACAACCTTAATAACTTTTGATCTAACAATCAAATCTTCACGTTCTAGGACTCAATCTTAATGGCTCAAGGGGGTGCCTCATATATGCTAATTTATTCGGGCAAACGATATTTTACGAAATCACACAAAACGTTTTTTCTCTTAATAACATACCTTTTTTATCCATGGATTCGGATTTCTGACCCCGGGAAGCTGCAATCTGGGAAGAATAGTCCCAATAGTTTGGTCAGGAGTGCAGTCTTAAGTTTGGATCCCTTAATGATTCGAGAAATTTTTTAACAAACGCGCACACAATTATAAAATTCGTTAATCCAGAGATAATTCCATACAAAATATAACTTTTAGTACATATTTATTTTTAATTATTTTATCTAATAGTCGAAACATTTTGAATTGTAAGGCGTAAAATATTTTACATTATTTCAAATAATGAAATTTTAAACAGTTAAATACAAATTATGAGGGAAATCCTATTAGTTTCTGAAAAATCAAATTTTAAAGAAGTCGATATTTTAAAAATTCCATATAAAAATACATTCTTTGAAATTACGTAAAAAATTGTCTACCTTACAATTCAGAATTTTATATATTTAACTTTTGTTTTTGCATGGAATTATCTTCGGCTAAATGAATTTTGAAATTGTATGCAAAAAATTTCGATATGGCAAAATACGCAAAAGTTAACATTAAGGGGACCAAACTAATGGGATCTTATTTCACAGACTGCAGCTACCCACTATAACATGGGAGTTTGAAATTCTTAGCCGTCGAAAAAAAGGTATGTTTGAGAGAAAGAATTTTGTAACTTAAAATACCGTCAGCAATTATTAACTTATCGATCATTAAATCACAAGCTATTCGGGGAAGTCCGTTTTTTGTTTTGCACACTGTACACACTGAAGAATAAATTTATTATATTTATATTAATATATGCAAAAATGAACAAATAATAAGAAAGCGTAAGAAACACATCGTACTCCAGAAGCAAAATCATGAAAATAAGAGGAATAATGAAATTATAACCCCTATTTTTAGACTTCTACACATACTTATTTTGCCATAAATTACTACAAAACCTGAATTAATAATTCACAATACTTGCAAGAGTCAAGATTATAATTCCAGTTAACTGCAATTACTTGATAGCAGGGTTTGTCGAATGATTTTTTTATTAAATCATTGATTTAAATCAACTAATTTTTTTTAAATATATATATTGATTTTAAAAGATAAAAAACGTAAGTGACTTTAAAAGTGTTTTAAAATTTATTTTAAATAAATTGCTGCATCAATTAATTTTAGTTAAGGAAATTACATTCGTTCTTGGTTAGTTAAATTTCAATACATTCGAAATTATAAAAATGTTTTGATTCTTGAGATTGAAAGCACAGATTAAAGAAAAGATTTAATGCTGTCTTAATATAGACTGTAGAAAGTAATTAATAAACACGATTTTTTTCAAAAAATATTGCAAATAATGTTAATTAAAATACCACCTTTTGAATGAAAAAGCGTGGAATTAAAATCTACATATTTTATTGGTAGAAAATATTTTTTTAGCTCAACTTATCTACATTTTGTCATTTTAAAAATCAAGAAAAAAAAGAGAAGATATCACAATTTTAAATTAAAATTATAGTTTACTAATTGAAACTTTGTTTTAATAGTCATAGTACAGGGGTCTATCCAAGCCAAATTTACTACCGTTTAGCGGTACCTTCACAAATTCAACTTTAGGAAAAATGGTAGAATAATTTGACAAAATACTTTTCTTAAAATTTTATTTTTGTGTCTCCTAAGAAACGATAAATACATATTTGTGTTGATTTTTTAATTTTCACAAATTATGTCTAAATTTTCACAAAATAGGTACCTCTCAGAAAAACCTAGACAGACCCCTGAAGTATTCTTTAAATTTTCTATTTCATCTAGTCTTTATATTTCAATTATGCATTTATTTCAGAATGGTTGCTATGCATTCAAAGCTATGTATTATAATTAAAAATTATTTTAGTAAGGTAGAGCTTCTAAAATATTGTTATAATATAGTTTTAATATTAATATAATTCCGATTAAACATTTACAAAGTTTTTTGAATCATAAATGAAAGTTTTTACAGTGTATTTGAATAAAAATCAAAAAATCTGATTTAAATCAAAAAAATCTGACTTTTGATTTTTCTTAAAAAAATCACGAGCCCTGCTTGATAGATATTTTGAAGACTTATAATCACAAACCGAATACAGTTGTAATCGGAGCTGCATTTTTGTTCATGTCTAATAGAAAGTGGGAAATCTATTTTTTATTTGGTGCAAACAAATCCTGTTTAAAAATGACGTAGATAAAAATCAATTCAATTATGTAATAAAAAATAATAAAATCAAATTTCCTACACACGAGGTTGGAGACCCACTTTAAATAGACACTTTGCAAAGTAAAGAGGAAACGCTGAGGTTTTGAAAAATCTTGTTCTCCCCAAGCACAAATAACCTAGTCAGATACCAAAATGTAATGCTTTAAATCATAAAAGCCATCATAGAGAAATTAATTTCAAAGAATTGTACCCAATTATCTAACAAGAACTTAATTTCAACAAGGAATTCAGCAAATATTCCCTTACGTAAAAATAGTACTGAAACAAAACTTTTAACCAATAAAATAGAGTCGTTTAATCCAATAAAATAATCCAATATAGTAAATTAATCCAATAACTCCAATAAAATAGAAAGTTCACAATTTATCATAATGAATTAAAGCACAAATTCTTTCATTTTTCTGGATTTGACAAAAAATGTGAGAATCATGATAATCATAAATAATGAACAAAACTAGGGAACAAAAATGACACGCAAATGTAAACAAAAGACAAATGCGGATATGCACCAGTGCTGCACGACTATTACAAAATCTTGTAGACTTCATGGAAAAAGAAGAAAAATACTAATAACTAAACATAAAACCTGTTTTATAATAACTAAATAAAACTAAAGCTTTATAGAAATGATATATTATATAGAACTCTTTGCCATGTGCTGTTTCTCAAAAGAAGAATTTCTAGAAGAAATTCCCATTATTGGTTTAAAATTCTGAAAAATGTACTAACACTGAATCTGAATTTTTTGAGCAACCAGACAATTTAGTTTGAGCTAGAAAGTATGTTCTGCAAGTATGTATTATTAGAAGTTTTAGAATTACTCTAAGGAAAATCAAATTATTAATCCTTTAGACTATGTTAAACTGAAAAATAAGACTGCATTGAGTATCAATAAAGAATAAAAAACAATTTTGTGATTTTTTTTATTTACAAATCCAGTTATTTTGATACACTTGCAGCAGCAGCAGCACCGTGTTTTTGAGGTTTAGCTTGACCACCTTCCCTGAAGCCATGACTAGAAAAAGAAGAATACTTTAATTATAAGACAAAAAGAAAGATAAAAAGAAAAAACATGGCATAATTTCACATGCAGGGTTGCCACAGTAAAAAATGAACAAAAATAGTTGCTTTTAGTAGCCTCAAGCATGAAAATAGTTGCCTAAAACTATGAAAATAGTTGCCTGAACAGGAACAAAAAATATCAAAAATAGTAGCCAAATAACTATAATTATAGCTTAATTGTCAAATTCTATTATTAGGACTGGGTGATGTCAGAAATTTTAAATTGTAATACATCGTCAGTGAGACATCACGATATAGTGATGTATCGCTATTTAGCATATGTTCAAAAATTACTTAAGGGAAATCTTTAAATCAAAAATAAATAGAAAAGGAATAAATCTAGTACAAAAGAAAATATTAATTCTAAGCATATTCTACTATGACATCAATATCATTGCTTAATTTCATTTTTCTTAAATTAAAAATGATTTAAGATTTATTGGTTTAAAAATAATACTGTTACAAATTATTTTACGTACATGCATTAAAAATTAAAAGAAATTTTTTTTTTATTATTTGTTGAAAAAAAAACATGCTTTTGACACATTATTAGATCCTATTTTATTTACTTTTTTTAAAAAAATACTTAAGTACTTAGTCATTCTAGGGCCGAAAATAGTAGCAAATAGTTGCATTTCAATAGCCTGTGGCAACCCTGCACATGCATTTGCATCTACCTTTATGCATAGTTTCTCAAATTAAAGCTACTCAAACAAAATGTTTTTTACTTATACCTCTAAAATTCTGATTCCTCTCTTTACACACATAATATTTATTAGCACTGACTTAAAAATCTTGCATTTATGGCCTCTGATGACCATGCGTAATTAGCGAAAAATTTGTCATAGTAAATTATTTAGTATTATCCCAAAATCAAACACTCACAATTTAAAATCATACATTGCGTCTTTAGGATTTAACATACAAAAGGCCTATGACGACAAGCGATCTTAAAATCAAACAGACTCGTATACCGTGCAGCTCTAAAAATTCACATTCCTGCGGTTCAAAAATCACACTTTGAAATTCTTATTCATACAAATAAAATCAGTAGATATTACAAAATTTGCAAGTAGCCTTCACGTAAAAATACCTTTTAAAATTTATTATAAATCATACCTCATATCATGTTATAAATTACATATTAAATTTATTAGCGTTGCTAAAAAATTTTGCATTTATGGCCTAGGATGATGACAAAAATTCTTAATAGAATTTAGAAAAAACAAACAATAGTTTAATACATACTTAAATCTTCTCCAAACTTTTTTAAGATGTCTTAGTCTTCCAGTACCAGTTGTCTTCCTACGTTTACCCTTCACGCTCCAGTTATCTAGAAAGTAAGTAGAATTGAAACAATGACAAAAGGGAAAATAAACATAAAGGTTACAGAAAATTATAGACTTTATATTTTTAATACAATCTTGAGTGCAAAATAATGATAGCTTAGTAATCATCTAACATTACATATTAAATTACGACCTAGCATTGGCTAATTATATACTATATGCACATTTTTATTACTTTTAACTCTTTCGTGTCTGTGAGGCTGTTATTAAAATTGGGTGCCTGCAAGCAATGTCTCTCACGGGTTAAGAGTGTTGCTTGTTTATGCCACAACTAAGCTGCCAATCAGATCTGGCGATGGAGTTAGGCACTAACCTACAATAACACTCCAATATTTATTTAACTATCACCAAAAACACTTTTTAAGAACATAAAAACTGCAAGGAAATTAACAGACAAAAAACTAATTTGAACCAAAAAAAATCTGGTTTAAATTATAAAAACGAAACTATTAATTCTAAATAACAAATTTCTAAATTAATTATTTCTAAGTAAGAATTTGAATTAAAATAAAAATTGCAATTTAAATTATCAAATAACCATGGGGACTCAGCAATAATTACTAATCAATCAAGGGATCTGAAAATTTAACACTGTTTTTAAATCATGATTTCATCAATAAATTTTTAACAGATCTAACTGGGAAATATTTCATATATCTTAAATGCAACTCAATATTTAAAAATAAATAAAAACAACATCTCATCTCTGCACAGTCAATTACCCTTAATTCTCCCTAATAAAATTTTAGAACAAACATGTATTAGAGTTTTTTCAATTAACAATATCGTTCAACAGTCCTAAAAATTTCAACAAACTTACTAGCTTATATATTAATCGCTATTACAAGTTTGTCTCGGGTCTCCCATTATAGCACCAGACTAAGACAAAAAGAAAAATTTTTTGCACACACAATTAAAGTAAATAGCAAAATCACGTTCCTTGATAAATTATGTTCATTCCGACAAAAACAAATTTTTTTAACTAACCAGATATGCACGAAAAACAGTGTATACATATCATTAATGAAAAAATAGTTATCCTTATAAGTGATCAATGAACTTTTTTTCCATCAGCCTAGATTCCAAAGCTTTTCTTTTTCGCCAGCGAGAACAGACAAACATGATTTTAAAAAAAACATATTAATGAATTCAGATAAAGGCATTTTCATGAAAAATTGTGGAACATTCTAAAAAATTTAAAAAAAAAAAAAAAAAAAAAAAACAGCTTCAGGAAAATGATCTGCTGTGAAAATAGAAGTGAAATGTTATATATTTTGTATTAGAAGTCTGTACATAAATAGCATTCCAAACTAAAAACCATATTATTTTAATTTAAAATAGTTAATTGATTCTTTCTATCTGAGGAACTGGATTTCTGGAGAATTTAGAAGCCTATCTTTAGCACTGATAAGTTAAATCAGAGAAAATCACTCAACAGCATGTTTCAGTCTGGGGCGATACTATTCTCATCATGGGAAAAACCAAATTTAATTAATTTAAATAAATTTAATTAAATGAAACCCTAGTTTAGCAGTATTTTCTAAAGTTATAAATGAAAACAATGAAAGCTTGTGTAATAAACCTATAAAATAAAATGCCAAAACTTAAAACATTGATATAACATAAAAAAGAGATTGTGTTAAAAATAAAGTAATACTATCAGATAAATACTAAGCATCATCAATCAGTAACACGGACCAAAGTATCTTATTCATCATACATATTAAAACAAATTTAAATGAAAAGAAAAAAACATTTAAATACATTTATTTTGATTGAAAAAATAATAAACCTAAATTAAGACAAACCAAAATATGGAAACTCTTAAAGAGAAATAAATAAAAGCAAGGGCACAGAGTCCTTTTCCAGGTTGTATAATTGGTAGCAAATTAAAACCCGGGCCATGTTAGATACTGCTGTTAAAAGAACTTTTGAAGGATAAAAACTTTTGATAAAAAAAACTTCAATTTATACATTACAAGAATAAAATTAAAAGAATATTGATTTGGGAGATAATTAATACAAATTTCTATGATTTGCATCTCTAATCACCTTTGAAAACATTAACTTAAGTATTCATATACATCAATAATTTTCAAAAGAAAATGAAGGCAAATTCTTACACTAATAAAAAGAGTAATAGATTCAGCAAGAACTTGTCTACATAAAGTTTCAGTCCCGAAAGATGTATAACATCATAATCTACAACTTTACTGATTGTTAATGTAACACAAAGTGAAAAACCCTGAATATTTTATGTGCAAGATATCACTTTACTATACATATTATGTATAAGATAATTTTCTGAAATAAGATTTAATTAAATTATTTTTAAATACTTTTACATTGAAAAAAAATCAATTAACCTGATTTGAAAGACAAACTAAAAGATGGAAACTCTGAAAGAAAGAAAAGTAGCAAGAACATGGAGTCTTTCCCAGACTGTAAAACTTACATTCACTCATAGAAAATTAAAAACCAGGACCATGATATTAGAGAATGCTATGCTCCAAAAAGAACTTTCAAAGGATAAAAACTGATGATAAAAAACACCAGCTTATACATTATAAGAATAAAATGAGAAGAATGTTGATTTGAAAGATTGTTAACACAAATCTCTATGATTAATTGTAAATGCGTTCCCAATTTCACCACTAATAAATACTACAGAAAACATTGATTTAAGTTTATCAAGCTTCAGTAAAAAATTATCAACATTATTTTCAGGCATATGCTTGTAAGCATCACAAGCTTATAAAAATTCATATACATCAATAACTTTCAATCAAAATTATTTTTTAAAAGAAAATGAAGGCAAATTCTTACACTGATAAAAAAGTATTAGATTCAGCAAGAACTTATCTACATAAAGTTTCAGTCCCGAAAGATGTATAACATCATAATCTACTACTTTACTGATTGTCAATGTGTGAAAAACCCTGAATATTTTATGTGAATATTTGAAATAAGATTTATAATTAAATTACCTTTAATTACAATCTGATTAAAATAAATTTATTAACCTGAATTCAAAGACAAACCAAGAAATTATAACTTTGAAAGAGTTAATACCAAGGACCATTACATTACAGAATGCTATGCTGTAAAAAAAACTATTGAAAGATAAAAACCGCATTAAAAAGAATATTGATTTGAGAGATTGTTAACAAACTTTTTATGATCTGCATAGGTGGCATTAGCAATTTTACAAATACCTCAGAAAACCTTATCAAGCTTCAGTAAAAAATTATCAACATTATTTTCAGACATATGCTTGTAAGCATCATAAGCTTATAAATACTCATATAAATCATTAACTTTCAATCAAAACAAATTTTTTAAAGAAAGCTAAAGCGAATTCATACACTAATAAAAAAAAGTAATAGATTCAGCAAGAACTTTTCTACATAAAGTTTCAGTCCCGAAAGATGTATAACATCATTATCTATTACTTTGAAGATCATCAATGAAACACAGGTGTGATAATGACATTAAGTTTAAAAACCCCGAAAATTCGATGTTCCAGATATCACTATATATACCATTCATATTTAACATTTTTTGAAATAAGATTTATAATTCAATTACCTACCAATAAAGAATATCACACTTTTGCAGTAACTAATTTAAGAAAAATCTTAGGACTCACAAGAATTGCAATATTGCATTTGTAATTACACTAATATGAATTGCAAGGTGTAGCCCATAAAAATAAGATAATCAATGTTAAATATTTATTGCACATGCTGGAATACAAATTGAAATATTGGATTTTAAAAATACATGAACAAAAATTGCAACACTGATTTTAAAAACATGTAGATAAAAACCGAAATGATTTTAAAAACATGTAGATAAAAACCGAAATATTATAATGAAATCGAGCTTTTAAACATGTAAATATGAAGAGATCACCTCGTTTATGCACTTTTTTTAAATGACTTTTATAGCATGAATACTAATTGCAAGGTGGATCTTATAAAATAGGCAAATACAGAAATCAATGCTTGATATTTCAAAACAAGTGAATAAATATTGCGATAATAGCAAAAGCTGACGTAGTTCCAAATATACAAAATGGCAAAAACCCATGAAACCACCATAATCAAATGTATTTAAACATCTCAGTAACAAGATTTAAGGAAAGTTTCTTCGCATTATGTTATTGATAAGTGAAAGTCTACGGACTAATGGTTTCGAGAAACCAAAAGATTTTATATTATACAACATACACAACAAATATTTTACAATTATATTCAATTTTACTAATTGTTCAATTCTTAACATAAAAATTAAACATGACTTTAATACCAATTCAATTCTACTAAACAATTTAAAAAGAAACTCACAATGCCTTAATCTTTTATGAGGATATCCACATTGTGCACACAATGACTTTTGGATGTGATAACTACTACGACCACAACGCCTGCAAAGGGTGTGAGTCTTGTTCCTCCGTTTACCAAAACTTGATGTACCTTTCGTCTAAATAAGAATGAAATCGACAGTTAAAACAATGTTTATACAGTTCCAAATATATTTTACGTGTCAAGCTATTTGAATTAAGAATTTCTGATGACTATTATCAACATTTTACGGTACTTCGGGATTATCCTGCAGAACTGTCAATGCTCACAAAAATCTTTGGTGCCATCATAATGAAAAGCAATTTTTAAATTAAACTTTCTAAGAACATTTAACTTAGTAATAAAATATGTAAACATAAAAATATGTAATAAAAAGAACCGGAATAAAGTAAAAGACTATTTTTTTATAATTACACAATGAATAATTCTTGAAGTAGGAAAAAATTTGCAGTTATCACAGAAGTTAACTTAGGGCGATAATATCAGGTTTGGCAAAAATGGTCAACTGGATAATCCCAAAGTGCCATTTTTTATTTGAAAATATAAAACATTTTATCACATTAAACATTTTCAAAATAATTATTGCTTCATTTGGAGGGTTAGTTTATGATCTTTTATAATGTTGGAGTTCCGTTAAACAGAGTTCAGTCATCTTTAATCCCACAGCAAAAAACATTCGGAAAAGTTGCAGCATTGCATAAAATTATCTCAAAAATCTTATATTGTCACGATAACCCTTTATAGGCCAGAGCTTACAATAGAACTTCTCCATTCTGCTCTCCTCGCGATTGTTCTCCAATAATTCAGTATTTTAAAATTCTCTTCCATAGTCAAGCCATTTGATCTTACACCTACCTCCAACTCTAGATCTCATTGGTTAATAAATGATCTTAAATATCAAGGAAGAGGGATCCATACAACAGACCCACAAGCTTTAAGCAACATATTTTGATGTATTTGCTGATATCAGTCAGCTTCCTCAAATAATCTTTATAGTTCAAAATTACATTGTTCCTATAAGCTACACACATTTATAGCACAGAAAATTTTTCTCAAGGATTTTCTCTCATGTTTTGGATCCATTAGACAGGTCTAATGATTCTTCATTATTTTAGTTGATCATTTAATCAATTTCGACTTTAAATATGCTCCCAAGCCATTAAGATCAATTAGCTGCTATATCTCTTAATTTGTGTGCTTAATAGCATTTAAGGCATTAATAATGGGGGGATATTTCCTCTTCCTGACATGACACGACAACTATAATCTCCAAGGTACCAAATAGCAGTAAACTTTCTTGAAAAAAAAACCTGCAGATGTTTGCCGGGGGACGCAATGATTTATTATACCTTTCTAGTTTCTAGCGGGCCTCTACACTGAAGTTGCTGCTTATTCTATTTGCGTCCTTGGTGATTGTAGTTGGCGCATCACAGGTAAATGTCCCAAACAAATGAGATTCTAGCATCTGTGTATACAAGAAAACCAAGGGTGCAGAATGTCCAATTGAACTTATGAAGAGAAAATTAAGCAATCATGAGGAAGCTATATATCTGATTGTAAAAAACGTAAAACAAAAAAAAATCTATTTATGATCACAAACCAACACTATTTCAGAAATGAATATTATTTTAAACCCACAAATTTTAAAAATAAATTTTGTTCACGGGAAATATTAGGCTACTGCAAACTTTCTAATCATACAAGGCTGTATATTTCCAGTATATTGACACATAGTTTCAGAGTTACCGTTTTAAGCTAAGCAACAACGTTCGGCAACAAAATTTTAAGCCAACAATATTACCTACACAACAAAGATTAAATTTATATAGACTAATAAATCTATCAAATAACTCTTAAAATTAGAAACCCTTTTTACCAAACTTAAGTCTAAAAAACTGCACGATGTTGATATATTACAATAATGTTCGGCAACAAAATTTTAAACAATTTAACAACTAAGGAAGCTTGCAGAACATGTGAAATTAGAAGTTATTTTAAGAATATAAGAAAATAAATTTACTGCAAATGTACCACACTGTGATAAAAGATCGCCAGTTTATAGAAAATTAAATGAGGTTTCTATTTAGTGCACCTAAGATGATAAATTACGATTGAAATTCAAAAAAGAAACTATAATAATATCTTTTAACAATGAATTGTATACTTAGAGTTCTTAGTTACAGAGATTAATTAAGATTTAAATATTAACTTACCATTTTCTTTACGTGAAAGGTACGAAGTTGGGGACGATCACTCTAATGATTATTTTTCTGTAGCAAAATCACGGTTGCGGTTATGAATTTTACTTGAGAATGTTGGCTCTACTAATCTGCTTTGGCCTTACTTTGTGTTTTTAACTTTATTTACACTTCAAGATTAATATTGCATTCTAAATGCATGAATTTAATTTCAGGAATCAAAGTTCTTGATTTTCGAATCAATTAATGCTTTATAATTTATCAAATCCTGAGACAAATTTCATACTTATCAGTTAACTGTTACTTGTTACAATACTTTATGAACGTTAAAAAGCTTTTTTTCATCTGAATCAACCGGTTTTCTCATTTTTTCACTTTGACCAGTGTTCGACAATATGAATTTGAACTGAAAACGAGTTATGCAATGCCTACGGTTCAAAATTTTTTTGATCAAATTCTAGATATTGTTTGTTTACTTTTTTATCGGGCAAATTGAGACTTTCAAGTTCATACAGTGGACTAATAATGTCAAAAGCAATTAAATTAAGTCCATATTTAAAAGAATTTCGATTTCATTTGTGTCAAAACTCCCAAGAGAGTTCAGGCATTCGAGAATTCATCCAAAAGCATTACGTGCCTATAAAGAAAACTAATCCTCTATTTCCAATATTAATTCGCGAATGTAAAAACGCTGAACCAAAAATATATGCCAGATATGAGTTAGGAAAAGAATCAGTTGTATCGGTTAAAAACTTAGATAGTGCTAAAATACTTGAGGTTGTTAAAAAACTTGCTATGTAGTCTTCGTACAAATTCATGACTGTAGCTTTTGTTTAAAATTTGCTAATAAATGTTATAAATAGTTTTATTATTTTGTTTGCTGCATCAAAACTTTCTAATTCCTTAAAAAGTATTCAATTCTACCATAAATTAGGTGAGTCACTTATAGCTATTCTTAGTTTTTTTTTTTTAATTATATGAAACATTGCATATAACTCTTTTTAATTAAAACCTAAAAACATAATTAAGAATTTTGCATTCTTTATTGAAAAAGTAGTCAGAATAAGGTTTGTTTTAATTGTATTTATCATGGATTGTATGATATTCCCATGGGGGGATATTTCTGTTTCAGTACCTGTTCGTGCCACCTACCTTCGCCTTGGTGCAAAAGGATAGCTTAACTGTGTGTGTTATAACTTGCAAAAATTTAAAAAAAGGAACGGAATAGTTTTCCCAAGGGTGGCTATGATTTATACCCTGTTATCTAAACCTCTCATTTGATTGTTTTATTTTAGTTTTTATGTGCCGCCGGCCTGGTGGCCGAGCGGTTAGCGTGCCTGACTGCGAAGCCATAGGCTGCGGGTTCGAATCCCGCTCTGGGCATGGATGTTTCTCTCTCTCTTTGTGCTGTCCTCTGTTGTGTGAGTATGGCCCACCCTATAAACGGGTTTGTGGCGTGGGCAATATTGCTCGCCTCCGTGACTTTGGTTCACAGGTGCCCACTGGGTAACGCGAAATGAGCAACAATTCTGGCATAGTATAGGCAAAGATTCAAATTCAGTGCCTGCCATTAAAAAAAAAAAAAAAAAGTTTTTATGTGTCTTTCCAAGTGATCATCAAAATTTGTAGCATTTAAAAATAATGAAATTCTTCCTGTGATATATCAGGGGTCTATCTAGGTTTTTATGAGAGGTACCTATTTTGTGAAAATTTAGACATAATTTGTGAAAATTAAAAATTATATTAAAAAATCAACTCAAAAATATGGATTTATCGTTTCCTACGGGATACAAAAATAAAATTTTAAGAAAAAATATTTTGTGAAACTACCGTTTTTCCTTAAGTTGAATTTGTGAACGTACCGCTAAACGGTTGTAAATTTGGCCTGGACTGACTCCTGTATATATACTATATTTGATTAAAAAAGAACATGATTTAGTGTATTTTAAGACAAATATACAAAAGTTAATTTTTCTATTGAGAAAATTTTATATAGTTTATATGAATTAATCCAAATTATCCCTATTTTCATCTGAAAATCTTATAGACTTTGCCTGCAAAGCTGAGAATACTCAAATTAAAGTCTGTACAGAATAATTTGTCGTGTGAAAAATGATATATATGCTGTTAAAAAGAAAAAATTTATCATGTAAAAAAGTATACCTAATTGATGAGGCAATTTGAGACAAAAGGTTCACAAAGAATATCAAGAACGATTAAATTGAGTCCATGTTTAAAAGAGTTTAGATTTCATTTGGGATGGAACACCCAAGAATGTTCAGGTATCACTGTAATAAAGATAACTTTTTCAAATTTAGTTTGCAAGCAAAAATTAACTTATCTTCAAAAAGAAAGTATTTAATTATTTGTTAAGTTAAATATTGTGCAGTGCAACCTTACAAAAAGTAGTATGTACCAACCTGCTCTATGTATGTCCATTTTTGGGTCGTGCAGAAGTTTTTTCATAGACTTTGTGTTGAAGAAAACCTTTGGAAGAGACCATCAAAACCTCTCCCAGCAACCGAGTAAACCTTTGCACCAAATGCATTTTAAAGGTCATATAAGAAAACAAAAATATTAAAGCAAAAAAATAAGTAGATTAAAATGTATTCAAAATATTTGTGTGAAGCTCTTATATAGAGAGCTTTTTTTGACAAGTGATTACAACCTTTTGCTGCCGTCAGAGTGCACTGAAGGCGATGCTGTCAATGATATATTTTTAAAGTTGAAAGCTGAATTAGAAAAAAAAAATTTATAGAAAAAAATAGGCATCTCAAACAAACAAACTTTAAAGGTAACTAATTTTTATGATGTAAAATTGAACACAAACCTAAACAAAAGCATAGTTGTTTATTTTTTTAAAATACAGTAGGAAACCGATTATCCGGAACGATCGGGACCATTGCTATTCCGGATAACTGATTTTTCCGGTTTTCTGAATCACTACAAAAAGCCGTTTTTTTATTGTTAAACCCAACTAAAAAAATAAATATCTGGAAATAATCTTGAAAAAACGAAGTAATACACTAATGATTATTTCCAAAATGATGGTAAGGTAAACATCTTTCAAAAAAGAAAGAAAAAACCTAAAATCTTATGAGGAAAAAAACATTTTTTTTAAAAAAAAATGGCGGGAAAATTGAACGAATTTCGTTCCGGTTTTTTGGTTTTCCGGTTTACTGATTTCCGGATAACGGGTTCTGTTATGTAGTTCTATATTTCATAGCTGGTAAATTTGTTTTTGCACATAATTATATCAGTAAGGATTATTTTTATTGACTCTAAAAAATTTTCATCAATCTGGTTCTGGTCAACACAAGTGGCATTTCCGTATAAAGAGTGAGTAAAATTAAAATCTTTTTCAAAAAATTGTGTACCTTCAATAACATTTTGAAGTTTGAAGGAGGTAAACTCTATGAACAACCTACCTAACCACCATTTTACTGTGGAACAGAAGGTGGCCGCTCCGAGAGGTTTCACTGTATATTACAAGTTGTTTACTGTTGACAATTTTTGCTGATCATTTAAACTGACAAAATTCTTGTTGTTGAATATAAGACAAAATTCTGCTCCTCTGAACTGCACCCACTTCTATCTAACTACATTACAAAAAATCTATGTTAAATTATTTTTTGAATAGTTTGATTGAATCAGTGGAAAAAATGTCTCATTTAGTTAATGCTTCACATATTACAGTTAAACATTAGTTTTAAATTTGTTTAGTTCACGGGTGCAGAACAAAGTTCGAGGAAAATACAAGCAGCCCATGTGGGTAAACTTTTGGTCTAATTTAAAAAAAATTATATCTAGATTTTTTTTACTATTGTTAAAGCTTTTTGCTAAATTAGAAACGTAGACTGGATAAATGGAGCAAAAGAAAGATAAAGAGTAAGGCATTTAAATGTTAAAGTATGCATTTTAAAAGTTTATTTTAACTATTTTTTTTAATTCCTCATTTATTGTATCAACTTATTATCTAAAATAAAAAAGAGAATGTTTTCTGTTATGATAAATTTAAGGCAAATAACTTTATATGTCAATTTGTTTATTTATTTGTTAATTTTAACACTTTAAGTTTGTGAGTGAGAATCATAAACTTATAAGATAAGTCTTATAAATTATTACTATTTCATTATCTTTTCATTTTATATTATTTTTAACTTGTTTAAAAAATCATGTGCTTTTTTAAAGAGACAAACCTGAACTGGTTGGGTTTCTTAAGATTTTACCAAGAATAATACTTTTTGAGTTTAAATTTTTACTTCAAAAGAGAACAATTTTATTTTAGAGGAAAAGTTACAAGACAAAATAATAATTCAGTTATTAATAAATCTTAAACTAATACAAAATAACAATTGATAGAATGAGTGGGTATAAACATTAATGAGAATTGTTATCATATGAAGATTAATAATTTTAAGTTTTTTTATGATGTATGGCAATTTAAAATACTAATTTTCTTTACCTTCAGTTTCCAAGCAATGGCTAGAAATGAAGAGAAACATTATGGAAGGCTTAATCGCCTATATTTGTCAGCTGAAAAAAAAAGTACTTTTAATTATTTTATTCCTTGTATTAACTATTTGTGCAACTTTTCTCTATTCATTATTAACTAAAAGTTTGTTGTGCCATATTTTTTATAGAATATTAAAATTTTTTGTGCAAAACTTCACATTTTTAATTATTTACGCTAAGTTTTAGATCTCTTGTTTCTAGTTTTTTTTTTTACTATTATTATTATTAGGAAAAAATTTTGTTTTACAAATGCAAATTCAGTAAAGGATAATTTTATTATTCAAATAAAACTACCAGAAACTATTTTAATGTTAGATCAACAGTATCGTCTTATTTTTAGACAGGCCTTTAAAATTTTAGAAGTAAATTATATTATATTGTTCCAGATTTATGGTTCTTTACTTAACCTTTTTATTTCACATGGCATTTTATAGGTTAGTGATTTCACTAGTGTGTGATAAAGTGTTAAATATTCCATAGTTTTTGGAGTCGATCAGAAAAATTATTTATGGCACGTCCCCTAAGATGTACAAATTGTCAACGTGAATTATGGCACTTTACCTAAGCTCTGATGCAGATACCACCCATTTATGCATGGTTTTATGCTGTTATTTCTCTTTTGTTGTACAAATAAACTATAGTTTTATGTCTACCTTTCTTTTTTGTTTCGACCTGTTTCATTGTGTCTACTCGCATGTCACCTTTTAATAAGATTTTCAAACTAATGATAGGAAGAGTGTAATAATGAGATCAGCATTTTTTATAAATGTTTCTCTACTTTAAAAAAATAAATTATAATAACTGTCTATTTGTCTAGTATACTATTTGTCAAGTACAATTATTCTTGTTATAATTGTTCCCAACTATAACAGGAACATTTCTTTGTCATCTAGTTCAGGACTTAGCCTATATGATTTGGAGTGATCTGTAATTTTATTTTATAACTGTTTATTTATTTAATATTTTTTCTTCAGGAATTATAAGAATTATAATTTTACCATTTAATGAAAAGGGCAATTTTATACAACTAATATTCAAAATATTATTCTAGAGTATGAAGAAGCTCATCCTGCAAGACCTAAGTTAGTAAGTATATTCTTCCTAAAGGTTTACATTTAAAGTTTTATTTTTATATTATTTTTAACCCTTTAGAAAAATATTTTGATTATTACTTTCTTTAATGATAATACTGTAAATGTTTTCTATAAATATTTAGAATATTATTTTCTGTTCTATTGAAATCTTTTTTGAAGGAAAAATATTTTTTAGCGTACGTGATGACAAACATTATTTCTTAAATGAAAAATCAGTATAAATAAGTGAGAATTGAGAAATAATCTATATCCTATCATATTTGTAATGAAGATATGTCAATTATAACTTTATTACTGTTTTGTAATCTTGCGTTCACATGGTTACACTATATTATAAATTTTTGTTTTTGTTAAAAGTTATTAATGAATTTTTTTTGTTTAGCAGTTAATCTTTTAAAAGTAATGTTAACTGTTTCGCAACCCCGCATCGTTTCAGTGTATTATAAATTTTTGGTTTCCTTAAACCTTATTATTGAATACTTTTTGTTAGGTAATTTGATTTTTTCCTGTTATATAAAATATAAATTTATAGTCAAAGATAGCTGCTATCTTCATATTCCCATTACAGTTTGAATATTACTATTTTTCTTTCCGTATTAGTATTACATCTTTCAGTTTTTATGCATTCTTAAAAACTTTTGATCTTAATTATTGAATTTCTTATACAAACTACATGTGTTGAATTCATTAAATTGAATCCTTGTGTGAAAAAGGCAGACAGCTCCACTTTAAAATTTTTATTGTTTAGTGATTTGAAATGTTATATCATAAAAAGTTAGATTGATTTTTTATGTTCACTCAATCTTACTTTTCAAAACAATTGAAGCAGCAATAACTGAATTGGTGCAGAATAAAGTTGACTGCCCTATTTGATTGGTGCAGAAATGAACTAAATTGTCTTTTTCAAAGCAAGCAATAGGAATGCAAAACTGAAGTAACTATTTCTCTTGCACCTAGTTTTAGCAGTCCTATCCTTTTTTATAAGCATACTGCTCAACATTTAAAATAAAATAATTTCTGTTTTTTTTTTATGATTTTGAAATTAATGAATTTATATATGAATTCCGTGGAGTTTTATTTTTACTTTATAGATAACATAAAATACACAGTGAATTTTTTGAAACATTTTATATTTTGTTAAATTGCAAAATATGTGTTTGAATAATTTCATGTCACTTCAGACTCTAGTAATAATTATTAGTCGTGCATTAGTACTGATAGTGGTCAGTGTGCGGGAGGGTGACTACTTTGATCAACCTGCAAAGGGACTGAGGAGAATTCAGTATCAGACCTCATGAAACTGTTCTACCTTAAACTGCTTGACTTCTCATTCAGGTTGTCTGGGTACCAAAGAAGGGAAGCCATCCTTTCCTCAATTCAAATCAAAATTGTACTGGCATGTGTTCAGATCATCCTCTGAGGTGCTTTTCAGACAGTTAAGCAAATCTTGTGTAATGTAAATAAAGTACTACTACTCATGGTTGGGAAGGAAAAAAAACCCAAAACCAGTTTTTTTTTTAAACAAAAAGTTAAGTAGAATTTTAAGCCCCAAAGTAAAAGTAACCAAACTATTAAAAGCAACATACATCTTTCTATTGATTAACACTTTGTATGAAAAATTCAAAAAGTTTCACTTTTGTTCCATTAATGAGCAAAGATTATGAAACAGTATGATAACTAAAGATTTTAAATGAGCTTATTTATTACTTTACGACTCCATTTAACATGCAAATTAGCATTTAGTACCTAAATATTGTTTTTAAAAGAGCATGTTTAAAAAAAAGTTCAGTGTGTAAAAAAATTTTATCTTTTTGCATTATCTACATTAATATCATTATTTAGCGGTACAATATGTAACATTAATAATAATTGTTAAGACAAAAATTTGTTTTGTTTTTTATTTATTATTACAAATTTTCATATAAAGGAACAAATTCTAATATAAATTGAAAAATAAATTGTCTAGAATACATTGTATGAGATATTTCAGATAATATATTTTTTTTATTATAAAATATTTAAAGTTGTTAAGAATGTATACTATATTTTCTAATAGCTTTTTTTATATTTTTCTTCATTTCTCAAAAAAAAAAAAAAAAAGCTGTCTCTAAGTTCACTTGTCACTACAGTCCCCTAATATAAACATTATTCAATAGACCACTAGAATTTTAATTATTATTATTTTAGTAAATTTCAGTAAAAATTATTATTAATCCTTATTCCTAAATATATATTTGTTTAATCAGCATATTTTTCTCTGAAGTGGATAATATTCTGTCTCGAGGGCATCTGCTTTACCGAGTTTTCATTGTGTTATATTTCAGTGCAAAATATTAAGTAAATGGTCATAATAATATTAAAATTAAGTAGTACATAAAACTTAATCTGGTTTTGTTTAATTTATAGATGAAAATCTATAGACAAATCAATTTTAGAAAAATTATATTCCAAAATATTTTTATTTCCAATTACTTCGGATTCCAAATATTCTACTTCATATAAATATACTTGTGATGCCACAATTGGCATTACATATTTATTTTCTATCTTTTAAAATATCTTTCATTAATTAAGCTTATTTTTATTAATAGAAGCTTATTAGGTATTAAGTTTTTGATATATTTAAAATAAATCAAAAACTTAATCTTTTTAAACGAACATAAAATATTTATTTCTTCTCTTCTAGATCAATGTAACAGATACTTTTTTTTATTTCATTACTAATGCAGACTTATATATTCACTGTCGCCTTTAATCGAAAACAAAAATCTATTTATAACTTTTTATTCTAATTTTCCAACGGCTAAATGTTTCGGTTTCATGGTTATATTAATTCACATAAATTTGTTGGCGACTCGTGATCGCCAAGGTATTCTTTTAAACCCAATATTGAATATTTATTTTCTATCTTTTAAAATATCTTTCATTACTTAAGCTGATTTTTTATTAATAGAATTACATTTAAAAATCAATCAAAAACTTAATCTTTTTAAGCGAACATAAAATATTTATTTCTTCTCTTCCAGATCAATGTAACGGATACTTTCTTTTTATTTCATTATTATGCAGACATATAAATTCACTGTCGCCTCTAATCGAAAACAAAAATCTATTTATAACTTTTTATTCTAATTTTCCAACGGCTAAATGTTTCGGTTGCATGGTTATA